TGGTATTTAACCACTAGTAGTGCTTTTATAATATTGCCAGTATTCCTTTATTGGTCGTTATGATAAAATAAATGTAAAAGTCAATTCACAAAGATTAACACACCTGTTATCACTGAGAAAAACATGAATAGGAGCCTCTTCAGGTGGAGATAAAATAACAATGAATGAGGAAATAAATTAAATTAAATGTTTAATTTATGTGGAAAAAAAGATTGCATATCTTGGTGACATGTATGCTTGTAAATTGAAAATCCTGAGATAAAATTAGTAGTGGTAATAAAACAACTCATCCTTCTAATGAATATAGCCCATGGTAAACACACCTCAAATGTCCACGTACAATAGTCCTTATTGACACTCCAATTAAACAGGAAAAAAAATCTTTCTTAGTTGACCACCATTTTATCCACACATCACTTTTTACAACAATCTTTGTGCACAAAACAATTGGCAGCAATGTGTGGAATTTCTGCTTTGTTGTAATGTTGAAGACTTCATAGAAGACACAGTATTTTAAGATGAAGGGCATGTACCCCGTATTTCTTTCTTCTTGCAGATAACCATCAAGTGTCTGGTCTGGGCAACATAAGGACACTTCAACACACACACACACACACACGCACAGCAGCAGCACTATAATTAAACTAAAACCCAAACTAGAAGGTCTATTATTTTCACTACTCTGTCTTATATACCGATAATGAATAACTAAGCATTGTGATCGAAGGTGGAAATACAATTTATATAGGTACCATAAATATTGAAAATACACTGTAAGACTATTTGCTGCTTTGAGAAGAGATATTATACTGATATTTGTATTTGAGTAAAGCTGCCCATACACCTTACAATTATCTGCAGATTTTCTGTGGTCAGATGGAAAAGGTGCAACAGATTCCTCCATCTACACTTAACTGTGTGGATCCTGGGCCAATCTGTTGCACTTTTTCCATCTGACCAAAGAAAATCTGCAGATAATTGTAAGGTGTATGGGCACCTTAAAACTCACAACCTTTCAATGTCCTTTACCGCAGCAACCTTGAATAATGACTCATTCACACCACATCGCATCACAACACTAGATAATAGTTGTATCAGTGCACTGCAATTCATTCTCTACCACAGTGTGCTCTACCACACCACAACACACCATTAAAAATACTCTGTGCATTGTGATATGTTGTAAAACATTGAGGGTAATTGCTATTTTTTTTTTCAGCTTTGAAGTGATTTATTCTTTATTCTTTTTATTAAAGACCAACAGACATGTAAAAAAAAACAAGCTGCTATTTTTTATAAGTTGAGGCGCATTGGAAGTAAATTCAAAATGAATGGGCTGCCTAATACACTGTCTGTCAATGAAGGAAAACACATGCGCTGTAATACGCACATGTAAATGAACCGTTATTGGACACTTACAAAAGTAGCAAATATTATATTATAAAGGTGACCATATGCCTTACAATTAGCGTTCAATTTGCTTTGTCCCGTCATCGCACCCTCATTCAATTTCTGCACAAATACCCCATCATGCACAGACCAATGTAGATTTCGATAATCGTTCATCAGCAATACTAACTGGCAACATTTCGTTGATCGACAGAACAGATTTTTGTTTGCACATGTGCAGTGTTCATGTTGAGATTTTTGTGGTACGAAAATGCCACTTCCATCGATTTTCGTCCATTTCGAACAAAGTTTTTTAGTCTGCCCGTTCAACCAAATTCGGGCAGTTATAAGACCATTTTAAGCGAAAACATTAATTTTTTTACATTTCCAATCGCAGTAAAATTGCAATGCACTATGTTCCAGATCTGGTCCAGAAAATGGTGTGAACCCAGCCTTAGGCAATGAGGGGTGTGCCCTTTAAAGTAATATTATTAAATTAATAATATTTAATATTATTAAGTTATTAAAGTGTAATGCTAGCAATACAAGTGCAGGTTCTGGCCGTACATTGATCATAATGGCTGAACGAGGAAAAAAAAGCTTGATTCCCCCGTCTACACTAAACAGCATGGGTGAGGGAATCTCCCCCAAAAGGCTATTGTATTCTGACAGCCGTGGGTATGCTGCTATCAGAATACCGGAACACTGACTGCAGCTGATTGGCTGCAGTCACTGTTCAGTCGAGAAATTTCAGCAAAAGTTGCTTGAAAAATTGACTTTTGTGGATCTCGAGGGGCTTGCTGCCGGATTTGGCTGAATCTCGACCATTGTATGGCCCGGGTCAGTATTTACAGTATGGAGATTGTTTAGGAAAATAAAACATTATGCGTTTTCTATATATAGAAGATGTTAAATGTTTGCCTTGTATTTTCATTACAGCAGACCACAGAGACAAAGGAGAGAAATACCTGAAGAAACACACAAGCAAGGCAGGTAAGCTCATTGTTCACATTATAAACATACATTTGTATTATCACAGGAGCAGTTACTTAGAACAGGACCATATTGCATTGTCTTCTATATCTGATTTAATGCAAAGAGCTATATCACTACATGATCCATTGTAACAAATCACTTATCATTTGGGGGCTGATTTAAAATGCTGGGTGGAGGACGTTCGCAGCACATTACTGCCACTAGATGGAGTCCATTTAGCTATATGCTGGGTGAACGTGTTATAAATGAGTCTCATAATGTAGTTCACAAGCTGGTTTTATTTAAAGGAGGTTTCATTATTATGAAAAGAAACAGAAACTTACAGACCATTATTATCTATTATAAAGTACCAACATATTATGCAATGTGGTACATTAAATAATAATCAGATCAGAATATATTTAAAATGAGGTGGAATAATGATAAATTATATTTTGCAAACAAAAAGCTGATTTCCTGACTGTAATTAGAAGGAAGCTTCAGGTAATGTACTACTAGAGCTCTCAATTAAATTAAGAAAACAAATCTATTTCTTATTTTTACACATGGCTCTTACAATCAAAGTTATCAGTGAAATTAGTAGCTCTTGCACATTTTTAGTTTCAATTGTCCTATATATTCAGGATGGAGAGGAATGGGGAGGATATGACAGATGACAGCTGTGCAGGAGAGGAGTGTAAAGGGTATGACGGTGGGCAGTATGTGCTAAAGAGGATTGGAGAGGGTATGATAGCAAACAGTATGTGAAGGAGAGCAGTGCAGAGGGTATGATAGTGGGCAGTATGTGCTGGAGAGAAAGGCAGGTGGCATAACAGCAGGCAATATGCACAAAAGAGGAGTGTGGACACTGCAGTGTGGCAAATGTTAGGCCTGGTAAAATTGCATGGGGAGAGGCTTAAAGGGGTATGTTTAAATAAAACCTGAACCTATTCTATTCTGGATCAGCAAAGGAGGATATTGTAATTGGGGAGTCATTGGGTAATAGTGATCACAATGTGATTACTTTTAATATTGAACACAGAAAAGGGAAGTATACTGGAAGGACTAGAACCCTAAACTTCAGAAGGGCCAACTTTGAGAAGCTGCGCAACCTAGTGGGGGAAATAAAATGGGAAAACTTATTTCAAAACCTAAACACAGACCAGATGTGGGATTGTTTTAAAAACACAGTACATACTGCTACTTCAAAGTGTATACCTTTAGGGAGCAAAAATAAAAGATCAAAGACTAAACCAATATGGTTTAATAAAACTGTAAAACAACACGTCAAGGACAAGAGAGCGGCATTTATAAAATATAAGACGGAGGGGACGGCATTGGCGTTCCTTAACTACAAAGAATGTAACAAAAAATGCAAACTAGAAATCCGGGCAGCTAAAACTGAGTATTTACAAAAGCATATCGCCGCAGATAGTAAAAAGAACCCCAAAAATTAATAATGTCTTTATTCAACCTCAAATACTATGTAACTATGTAACAGTAAGTAATGCACATAGTGTAAGGGTCAGGAGTACATAACACACAGTGCAGGAGTCAACAGTAAGTAATGCACAGAGTGCAAGGGTCAGGAGTGAGTAACACACAGAGGGTAAGGGCCAAGAGTAATGCACAGAGTGCAAGAATCAGTAATATGTAATGCACAGGGGTGCAGGGGTCAAGAATAAGTAACTCACAAAGTGCATGGGTTAGAAGTAAGTAACATGCAGAGTGCAGGGGTCAAGAGTAAGTAACACAGAAAGTGCAAGGGTTAGAAGTAAGTAACATGCAGAGTGCAGGGGTCAAGAGTAAGTAACACACAAAGTACCTCCTGTGCATATTGCCTGTGTTGTTCCTGCCTTTCTCTCCTGCACATACTGCCCACTATCATACCCTCTGCACTCCTCTCCTGCATATACTACCCACTTTCATAAGCTCTACACTGCTTTCCTGCACATACTGCCTCCTGTGATATGCTCTGCCCTTCTATACAGCACATACTGTCCACTATCATACCCTCTGCACTCCTCTCCAGGACATATTGCCCACTGTCATATCATCTAAATGCCTTTCCTACATATACTCTCCATACTCCTCTCCTGCATATACTGCCCACCATCATATCCGTTGCTCTCTCTACCCCAGGTGTTTCAAAATGCTAGCAATGCCTGGGGGGAAGACAGATATGTGTTTACTGGAGGTAGAATCTCACTGGGGGAAAGGCTAATCTGTGTGGTCGGATGGGATGAGCTTTGAATTCGGGGGTTGCCATTGGGTTCATGCAAACCCAACCTGTTTGCAGTTTGTGGAAACGGCGAACAAATGTGGCGGTTCCCTGCCATAGCATCCAACTACCAATAATGAACTTTCTGGCATCTGGACCTAGCTCTTAGAATCGCTAAAAATGGGGGCTTTCTTACTTTAAGAGCAGGGTTCCCAGCAGACCTATTGACAATGTGCTTAGCTGTGATAGGGAAATCATGAGGAGTGCCACTGATAAAGTGCATAGGCAAAGATTAGTGTATGGCTTGTACGCACTGGTCTCCTAAAGTAAATGTAAACCCTTCACTGAATGTCCTTTAGGTAGCAAATGCTGTGTATCTTGAGGAATTTGTGGGTGGGTGGGTTGCTGAGTGGTTATGTGTGTCCTTCAACTTCTTCCCTCTCCTCATGCACTGCCTACAGTCATAACAGGCTGAATATGTATTTTTAAAAGGGCATATTTCCTTTTTTTTGCTGATTGCAAAAAAAATTCTCAATTTTTTGCTGGCAGGAATTTGTTTTTTTCACAGCCTGTTCATGTCCACATGCACTGCAGACATAGGAGATTCCTTTGCACATAACTAATAAACAACTGGATGCGTTTTTTTCACAGGCATATTTCCTAATTGTTGCTAGCTGCAATTTTTTAACTGCCTTTTTTTGTAAACACACTATAATATTCATGGGTAATGTGCATCAGCACAGGAACTTATTTTTTTCCTTTTGGAAGGCATGTGACAGGGTAATTTATAGACAGGAGATTGTGGGAGACAGGCAGAGTATTGTCACCCCATAACACAAAGTGCCCAAATAAGGACCTTTATATCAGTATGACCAACTGTTAAAGCGTATGAGATTTTAATGGTTTAGGTTTACATTTAATTTAATAAACTATGTTTGGCTTATTTGAATGACAGTACTGGGGTACATTTATTCCCAGATTTGTACTCCCCAAAATCCTTTTAAGGAGTAATATCTTTCTGCAACAACTGATTCATATCTAGCTGCTTTTACTATTAAATGTTGTTTTTTCCCTTTTATATTAATGCTTTAAGCTTAGCGTGATTAAAAAGCATTAGGCATGCAGTATATTCCTAATCGCTCAGAGCTCCAAGGAGAAATTGAGGCCTACTTTGCAACTTATCAGGGCTCTAGACCATCTCCCCTTGTGGTTTGGGAAGCCCATAAATGTGTGTTTAGGGGACATCTTATTCGGCTGGGTGCTTATCTCAAACATTCCAGGCTTGCACGTACTACTCAACTTCTGTCCCAGATTTCCCGCCTGGAGGTGCTCCACAAACGGTCTCTTGCCCAATCTCATGCCTCAGAACTTCGGATCCTACGTGAGGAACTTTCCTCTTTGCTCATGTATAAGGCCAGGTTCCAACTGGTGAAGGGTCGTTGTTCATTCTACGAATTCTGAAATAAACTTGGGAAATCACTTGCCAGGTCCTTGAGAGAGGAATCCCTCAGGACTTACATTCCTTGTATATCATGAAAGGGGGGTGGCAGGGCGGTCAAATCATCCAATATAGCAGACTGTTTCCGCTCTTATTATGAATCTTTGTACAACCTGCCTGCCCAGTCCAGTGGTTCTGGATCTCAGTCTAGGCAACATTTCATAGAATCCTATTTGGAGAAGTCTGGTCTCCCTAGTCTTGATGCTGATGATGTGGCGGCCATGGTGGCACCGCTGACAGAATATGAGTTTCTGATGGTGGTGAAGTCTCTTAAAACAGGTAAGTCTCCAGGGCCAGATGGCTATATGGCCACGTACTATAAAATGTATGCTCCTCTCCTGGCTCCTCACTTTGTTTTTGGCTTTTAATTCCATCTTGGATAGGCACTCTCTTCCATTTAGACACTCTGCATGCCCATATCGTGGTGATTGCTAAGAAGTGTAAGGATCTATTGGCTTGTGCCAACTACAGACCCATTTCCCTCCTCAATCTAGACCTAAAAAATGTTTCCAAGATTCTGGTGATTAGAATACTGCCTCTTTTACAGACTGTCATCCATCCAGATCAAGTGGGCTTCATGCCAGATAGAAAAGCGAAGAACAATACCACCCGGATGTTCAACATTATCCACCTGGCCCATTCAGAAGGCATTCCCTTGGCTTTGCTCTCTACGGATGCAGAGAAAGCATTTGATAGAGTTGACTGGGCCTTTCTGAAGGCTACGTTCCATCACTTGGGCTTTGGTACTAAAATGTGTGCCTGGTTGGATGCCATCTACTCCTCTCTGAACCGTTCCTACGTAGAATTCGGGCTATTCCCAATATTCAGGGTCTTCGTTTGGGGACTGACCTCCATAAAGTTGTGGCATTTGCGGCTGACCTCCTGGTCTTCGGTTTGTCCCAAGACAATTTTTCCAAATCTCCTTCGGGAATTTTCTCTCTAAGTTGTCTAGCTTTCAAATACATTTTCACAAATCTGCGATGCTCAATATAATATCTCCCTGCCCCTGCATAGAATTCCAGGTCTAATGTCAGCTTTTCCGTTTAAATGGGCCAAGGACTATATTTCTTATCTAGTTACTCTTATTACGCCGACCGTTTCCGCGATCTTTTCAGCTAACTTTCGAAATGGCATAATCTTTCCCATTCTTAATTTGGTTGGAACGCCGTTCTCATAATGAACGTCCTCCCTAGGATATTATATCTATTTAAGACACTCCCTATCTTCATACCGACTTTCTTTCTGCGACCTCTACACCGGGAGTTTCTCAAGTTTGTCTGGGCTCATTCTTCCTCTCGT